GTGTTCAGAAGAATGTAATTTTAAGGCTTTATTTGAAATTGCAGTATACTAAATGTCAAATTCTAATGCAGATATTTCCAACTGTTTTGTCTCTCTGAATACAAAGTTCAGAGCCAGACATCTTATGGCTATAAATTTTAAAAATGTAGGTTACCTTAGGCAGAACAAAAATGATTGTGTTTCCTTCCACCTTCTTTCAAATTTCATTATTCCTAAATGAAATGTATTTGAAGGTTTAAACTGCAGGGCAGTTAAACCAGGTTCCCTTTATTTGCCTGGAGTATTTTAATCATTGTTCTGACCTGCTTACCCGGGCATGTGTTCATGTAAACCCTATGATGTAATGGTTTCATGGTAGTACTAAGGCACATAATAACCTCGTCATGCTTTTTTTTTTTTTTTTTTTTTTTTAGTACTCACTGTTGAAAAGCTTTGTGCCTCAGAACGGTTCTAAAGTTTTGGTGTGTGTACCTCTAAGTTTGTCCCTACTAGTAAGGAGTGTTTCCAGGTGTAAAGTTTTGGATTTTAAATTTTAATTCTTTAGTCTGCCACAGAAGGAATTGGGAATGCTATAGAAGCAATATGCTCTGTCCTTAAGAAGAAAGCACATTGCTTTCAAGTGGGTTCTTAGCTTCTTTTCTAGCTAATCCCAAGGAAGGGCTTAGGTGGCCTCCAGAGGAGGAAGTGTTTGGCTACACTCTCAAGTTTTTGGAGAAGGAAGGCTGGAGAATCTTAACACTTTCTTCTGTGTCATGTTTTATTACATTTAGCTATGCATTTCTCCACAGACCTTGCTTTTTCCAGCAGAAGGGTTGGATTATACCTTTGTGGACCATGTTTTATTTGTAAATCTTAAGATAACTTTCCTATATACCTTGAAGTAGTAAGGTCAGAGTTACTGCTGCAAGAGAAATGGGGGTGGGAGGGAGGAATATTTTCACATGCCCGTGCTTGGGATTTGTGCATGTTAAGAACATACGCATTTCATAGAGTCTGCCAGTGTCTTAAGCACTATATGTAGCTGTATGAAACAAAATTAAGAGAAAATAGATGAGCTAAAATCTGTCTTGCTGCAGAACTATAAGGCTTATGTGGATTTTCTTCCTACAAAAAAAAAAAAAAAAAAAAGCTTGCATCACCAATAATGCTGCTTAAGCACTTGGGGTAGCTATACTTCATTTTGCCATTAGGCGGTGTCAAAACACAGACCACTAGAAAAATAGATCTGCAAAGATGTAGAGGCAGGCATCGTCTTCATGTGCAAAGCTTAAAACTTTTTTTCTTTCTTCTTTTTTTAAAAAAAAAAAAAAAAAAAAAAAGACCAAAAATTACTTATCTCCAAACCATCTTCAACTTGCTAAACTTTCAGAGAAGTCTCCTTTGGTGTTTCTGGGAGGATGATAAAAATACTGACTCTTGATCAGTCTGTTTTGACCAGATGCAGCTGGTGGTTCAGACACCTCCAAGCTTTGGGAGGGGATCTGGGATCTGGAGAAGTCATGATTCTGTAGAGATCCTTTAGAGAAGGACATCGGGTCCTTTAGAGTAGTCGTGGAAGGAGGGCCCCAAACTCCCTGGCCGGCTGTGATCTGTTTGAATTGTGTGTATTCTGATGATGAAATTTGAGTGTTGAGGGGTTTTTTTGGTGTTATTTTTTGGTGGTTTGTTTGTTTTTTTTTTTTTTTTTAACTCCTGTGGAGACAATTCCATTCCAGCATTGTTTTAATAAGGGGAATTTTTCAGGTCAGGCCTGATTCCCTTGTGCTGTTCTGTAAGGCAGTATGGACAGCATCCCCCACTGCTGATGTTACGGTTTCTGCAGTGTTGAACATACTGTGCCAATGGGGAATTTAAAAGTGGTGCTAAATGGTTTGGAAGACTTTTTCCTAGAACTTGGGGGTTTAAGTTGTTAGCACTTGCTCCTCATAAATAGTATGCATGTAGTGTACTATCCTCTAGTCCAGCTGTCAACTCTTTTCCTGAATTTTTTGTCATTGTTTGTTTTCGAGGGGTGGAGCAGGAGGAAGGGGGAAATGTTTTTCCTAACATTCATTCAACAGGGCGATGTAAAAGTTTTATTATCCTGGTTTCTTAGGGTCATAAACATCAAACAACATCGGTAGCTTTTAAGGGGTCTGCAGTTGTGGACTTTGGATAAACTTATTAATCATGAACTTGAGTCAATTGGCTAATTTCTGCCAATGTTGCTTTTACAAAATCTTTGTGGCGTGGAATAATTGATGAAGAATAATTCTTAGCTGTGTAAGTAGCATTCAAATTTAAAGAAAAATAATATTTTAGTTGAAAAATGTTGTGAAGCTATGCATCTTGGACCTGGGAGCTGTGATATCCTTAAACGCATAAGCTTTTGCTTCCCATTTCATTGACCGTTTTAGCTTGGTTGTTCCATCAGAAGTGAAAGAAAATATATGTGTCTTTTCCTTTTATATGCTTTTGCTTAATACTTCCTCTAAACTGATAACTTCTCTCGGCTTCTTTGGTTTCTGAAGCTAGTCTTTCAATCTTATTCCAGTTTATTAGACTTATCTAGAAAGTGAGGAGGAAACAGCTTATTAAGATGTGCTTGTCTTCAGAGAACATGTTAGAGAACTCTTACTAAAACTGATATTGCCCAGTGTCTCCACTTGACTGAGTGACTAATGGGTCATGAGCCTATTTAAACTTGAGTATTTTGCAAATGGGAGCTAGTTTCCTCAAGGTATGCGTTCAGAATTAGTAAGTGTTCTTGAGGTTGCATGCTTCAGCTCTGACCTATTTGCTTCTGACGCTTAGTCAAGAATCATAAATCAGCTTTTCTGAGAATCCTTCTTGTTGTTGCAAGTTCAGCCACAAAATAAGCTTTTGCATCTTCTGCAATTATTGGGATTTATGCCTTCCTGCCCAAGAGCTGAGTTTGGCCACCTATAATTTTTCTCATTTTGAGCAGTTTAGTTTTTCTGGTTTTCAGAAATGCAGCAAACTAGATTTGCACTAGCGTATTCAGTTTCTGCTTTGAAGTACGATGAAATTCAGTTTGTAGTGAAAAGAATCTCTTCTAATGTTCATCTTGGAAGTCTAAATTCAGGTGAACAGACCAATATAGTGATCTCCACTAGATACTTGGTAGACATTTTCTTCCTGCTGTATATTTTGGCCTTACGTTGAGGAGTTTGATTTATTATTAAATTATTTGTGTATGCAGACTTTAATCTGTATGGATTTTACTTTGATGTATTAGGATTTGTAAATATTACTGATTTTTAAATTTTATTTATGCACATACTTAAAGGACTGGTCTACCCAGAAAAACAATTGATAAATAATAAATGTTACCTTTTAGAAATAAATTGCAAGATCATTAAATTGTGTATCCCTCAGGGTTATTTTTAAAGGGTTTTTTTTTCCTCTTCCCTTCAGATTCAATTAGCAGTAACTCTAGTTTCATGTACTATAGAACTAAATCTACTGTAAAGAAAATGCTGCGAATAATGCTTGAGTAGAAGCGGCTAAAACACCCACAGAACTGACTGTCCATGTTCATCATAATTTTAAATTGGAAACTCTTACTGTTGCACTTTTTAAAAGTTGTTGGATTTTTAATTCTATTTATTTTTTTTCTTTCTTCATGAAGGTTGTGCTGAACAGTCATCCCAAATTGGGTAAATAATCCTGTACTGTATATGTGTATACAGTATAATACTAAGCAGACGTGGAGTCCTTTTTATGCTGCAAATTTTTAATGCTTATGTTGGTCATCACAAAATGAGAGAGCTAAAGTTCTGTAGGATTTCTCCCATGAAATTCTGAATTGTAAACTTAGGCTTTTGTATGTCTAAGGGAAAGTTGTGGGTTTTTGACAATTTTTAGAGTCTTGAATATGTTGATTTTATACAGTAAAGCTTCAGGTTTTTAAAGCTATTTTCAACAAACTGCAGCTTGTTTGATAATTATGTGAACCAGAAACTACTCAGTTTGTCATGAATTCCTCAAGCCTAACACAGATTAAAAGGCTCATCATTACAGTGCTCTCTAGAAGCTCGGCTTCCTTTTTATTTTTAAATCTGAAATGATACTACATCTTTGTATTTAGAATATGTATTGCTGCTCTAGAATGGTACCCTGTTGTCAAGAGGCATACATAAATAACTGTACAATAGAATTGTAAATAGACTTGTAAATCATTTTTGTGACTGAAACTCTTTGAAAATAAAATTAAAATGAACAGATATTTTAACTCTTTGTTAGTTTCATGAAATTGTTTTTAATTATTCTTTATACAATTAGATTCAAAGCTTGTTGAATAATACAGACTTACTCCCACTGATGTCATGGGTATCTTGCTCAGTGTGTCTGTATTTTTGTAGGTGGGGATGGAGAAGTATGCATGCCACGTGTTAGCAGTGCATAAGGTAGCGCTGCTGTTCTGCAGTAGGATAATACTGACCGTACTTTTATCTGGTGGCTTATAAGAGCCATTTTAAAGCCAGACCGTGTACATGTGATAGCAGCTTGTTTCCACCTTCTGTTATCCAGATGTTCCTTCTGTTCTTTGACGTGTGGGAGGCGTTATCTTGAAAAGACTCCTGGGCAAATGTTCCTGGTTGTGAGCTGGCACTGTTGTCGCAGTCATCTTCAGAAAAATCACACAGAAACGAAGACATCTTTTCCATCCTGTGGCTCACATTCTGTTTAAACATTGATTAACAGAACATGTTATTTTAAACTTGAAGATAAGATGTTTGAAATGCCTGGTTACTCCATTACAAAAGCTTAATCTTTTAATTTCAAACTAGTATTTTGAAAACTTAAAGCTTTTGTCTCTTCAGAATCTTGCAGGCTTTAGGTTTTGTTGGCCTGTGACTAGAGAAGACTTGGAGGAAAACCAGAAGCCAAACGGGTCAACCCTGGATTGCTTAGCCAAAGGGTTAAGTAGAAAACTCTTCATTCCTTACTCAAATTGCTTTGACTCCAATCCTGCAAGAAAGTAAAAGTCAGAGCAGCCTTGTGAGGGTACATATCAATCACTCGGTTGTTTAAAGTAGATGTATCCACTCCTTCAGAACCTAGTGCACCTGTGTAGCAGACTGCAGCGAAACTAAGCATCTAACAAATCTGAAATTTCTTTATGATCATAATTCATGTTGAAATACACGTTTCTGACTCCAGCCAGATTTGCATTGGGTTGGTTGAAGCACGTACTCTAATATCACTGTCAAAGAAGCTACAGGTGGTTTTTGTGCTGTTGCGTGTGTGACTTGAAACGAAGTTTCTTCTGTTTTGTGAGTGGTCTCAAGTTCTACTTTTGGAGTGACACACAACCTGTGGAAGCTGGTTGCTTACACAACTAAATATAGGCAAAATCTGCTCTGAAGCTTAAAATATTTTGTGGCCTTTCAGTAGTTACGCAAATACGGGTGAAAGTGTTATCTAGAGGATGCGTTTTGCTGTTTTACTTCCCATTTAAAATGCAGAATCATGGTGAAGCCTGATTGCCTGCTATGCTCCTAGTAAGTCCTTCTAAAAAGCGGATAAGTTTCTAAGGTACAGTTCAAAATTCCTTTTTCATGCTCATATGAGTTTAGGAACTCGCAAGAAAGTAAAAAAGTTAAGCACCGTAGTGAATTATACATGTGCTCAGTATTCTATGAAAACTATGTTCAAAACTGATTTGTGACTTTTAATATACTAGCAGTATTAATGTATTGCTTCTGGCATCCTTTCACAGTCTTGAGAAACCTTAAGAGGGTGGTAGAAAGGGAGAGGCTGTAGACTGGAACACTGTAAATGACCAGCCAGGCTGGTGTCTGTTCTAGAATGGCAGGTGTCTCACGTGAGGGTTTGACAAGACTTTAATACACGGGAATGTGTAAGTATGACCCTTGCGTGGATCTCACTGTATTCTCTACTGTTAAAATCTTCAACTGTGGAAGTTTAAATATTTCTTCAAAAAATACCATTAGCGGCTCTAGATGTTTGAGATCCATAGGATTATCCAGTTCCTGTGCCAGTCATATGCTTGTGGCCTTAATCTCTTGCAAAGAATTTCTACCATTCCATTGTTGGTTTGTGAAAATGTATGTGTTCTAGCACTTTTGAGTGTCTAACCTTGTCTCATTGAATAATCTTTTACCTTTTGTTATGAAACCAGGAAAACAGACATCCCCAGTCTACAGACTAGCGTTAGCCTGTTTCTTATTTTATAGACTCTGGCCTGCAGTCATGCCCTCTGAGGGACCTGCATTTGCAGTCTGTAGCATAACATTTTGGGGTTTTTTTTTTTTCTCCATTTGGTTCTCTAGATCCTTATTTCTTTTGCCTCACTGAACCCTGTAATTCTGCTGTGGTCTTGGGTTGAGTTGGTGCAGGTTGAGATGCCAGTCAGGGCTTGAAACAGAAATTTCTTTCTGTGTTTCTGCCCTCATGCACCACCCAGAAGCAGCTCACCAGCTGTCTGCTCTGCGTGCTGTGGGCTGTAGGCTGAGGTACTTGCCCTGGGTGCGTGGGGACGTGCTCCTCATCAGTGTGCTGAGGGGGATAGGTAGGATCAGGGACAGGCTGGCTTACGAATTTCTCTATTGAGGTGAAAGCATCACTGGTTTATGCGAGAGGGTCAGTTTTGGAGTCGGATGGCGGGGATTACTAGGAGAGTGAGATTCTCTGAAACATTCTTTTTTGACATGGAAAAGTCCTTTGGAAGGGTGAAATCACAAGACCTTTTTTTGGTGACTTATGGTCTCGAAGAGCTGTAGAAAGGGCAGTGAGAGCTTGCTTTGCAGCACCACGTTGCTGGTAGTTGATACCACTAGGTGCTGTGTTCTTCCCTTCCTGAGGAAAGGATGCAGATTTTACCAGTCTTCAGTATTCCGAAACTAACCAAGAATCTTTTTTTATAAAGTACTCTCTCTTGCTTTTTTTGATGCAGCAGCTGTTCTTGCTCCATGGTGGTATGTTCTTGTCAGCAGTTCAGGCATGTGAGAAGCTCTGCTCTCCTACCTGACTTACTCCTTTTTAAGTGATTGTGTTTGTACCCATGTCTGTTTGGTGGGGTTGGTTTGACAACTTCCTCCTTGCCCCTAGAAAAGGGTATGTTGGGATGGAGCCCTCCTCTCCCCCAGTGTTCTTGGAGCTGAAGACTGACACGGTGTCAGCTATTCCAGTTAGGTCTGCAGAACTTGTCCAGCTATTCCAGCAGTCCCAGCTGCTGCTTCTGCTGATCAGCCAAGGTGCTTGACTTCAGGTTTCTGATACACTTGGACTTGTTGATTTCACTGAAGAAGTGTTGCTAAACTGTGGAGGATTTCTGTTTGACTTGGTCTTTTAACTATTATCGTTATAGCATGTATTGGGTTTGCATGGGAAGGTTTCAGTAGTGGGGGGGCCACAGGGGTGGCTTCTGTGAGAAGCTGCTGGAAGTATAGAAGTAGAAGCTTCCCCTATATCCGACAGAGCCAATGCCAGCCGGCTCCAAGACGGACCCGCCGCTGGCCAAGGCCGAGCCAATCAGCAACAGTGGTAGCGCCTCTGTGATAACGTATTTAAGAAGCAGGGGGGAAACAACGGGAACACAAACTGCAACTGGAGTGAGGAGTGAGAATATGCGAGAGGAACGACTGCAGACACCGAGGTCAGTGCAGAAGGAGGGTGAGGAGGTGCGCCAGGCACCGGAGCAGATGTTCCCCTGCAGCCCATGGTGAAGCCCACGGTGAGGCAGCTGTGCCCCTGCACCCATGGAGGTCCACGGTGGAGCAGATATCCAAAATGATTGCTCTCCTGTTCCTTTTTTTGTTTGGAAATCTATACAACTTTGTGGTATGTTTCATGCAGATCTAACTTTATTGGTACAGCTTTCTAGCAAACCTCATGGCATTTCTTTCCTCTCGTTTCACTGTATTTTTAATACCACTGGTAACTTAGTATTGTGTTAAGCTGCTGAAATGAGACTCGTTGGTTATCAGAGGCCCACTGCTGTCCTGTGCTGCATGAGCTCTTGCGTTTTATTTCAGGCTACATCAAAAATAGCCTGTTGCTTCTTGTGTGTTCTTGGGCTGTTCCAAGAAGCGATCACTTCCAAATGCTGAGAGATGATTTAACAAAACTGTGTGCTGTTTTGCTTTTGGCCACTTAAAATACAGGACACCCTTTTTACCTCCATTATCTATTTTTGCAAGCTAAACTTTATTTTTAAACCTCAGGTAACCTACAATAAAAAAATACTGGACCTTTTGATAATTTTTTTTTTAAAGACTTGCTGTGTGTAACTTAGTATAATGCTTTTCTGTTCAAATAAATATATGCCTTATGACTACTTAGAGTTCCATCATGATTTTCATATGCTTTTATTATACTTGACTAGTACAAATATAAGCAAGGAATACTTGATTTACAAAAGAGCTTTATCTGTACTTCTCAGTGTAAGCTGAGCTCCTTAGAAATATTTGCAGTCAACAGGAAAAGAGATTTTGAAGTTTGCTTTCAAGCCAAGAGAAATTTCACACGCATTTCCAGGTTTTATGATATAGTCACACAACTTTGTCGGCTGCTAAGTTATTAACTACCTGTGATCAAATCCCAACTCTCTCTTATCTCAACAGCTAATGTTTCTGGCACTTCACCAAGGATGTTGGTGTTTCGTTTGTCAGTGATGATCAACCTTTTCTTCCAGTTGGCTGCATCTTTTTGTCCTGAGAAATGTGACTGCTCTTCAAAAAATGCAATTCATTGCTCTGGTCCCCACATAAAAGACCTGGAATCGTTAAATCTGCCTTGCAACATGACAACAATTCGCATAACGGACGCTAATGTAACATACTTGCAGGATGTTTTTTCTAGGATGGTGGAACTGCAGCATCTCATCTTGTCTTCAAACAACATCTCTCTGATTTCACCAACGGCTTTTAAAGGTTTGAGAAGACTAAAAGCCCTCAAGTTGCTAGATAATAAGCTGGTCGAACTTCCCCCGGAAGTGTTTGATGACATGGTACAACTTCAGCAGCTGATCATTGAAAATAACAGGTTGAAATCCATAGAAGAAAATCTGTTTGACAAACTAGCTAGTTTGGAGGAGCTTTTATTGAACAAAAACCAACTAACAGCACTTCCTAGTGGCATGCTGAAGAAACTTGCCAAACTCAAAGTATTGAACTTGTCGAGAAATTATTTGGCAGCACTGCCTAGAAATATATTTAGTGCGTTAACCAGGCTTGAGAAGCTGATGCTGTATTTTAACAGGCTGTCTTCAATAGAGTCTGGTATGTTTGATAGCCTGAAGGAGCTGCTGGAACTCTTCCTGCATTCCAATAACATCCAGTCCATCGCCCCTGATGCGTTTCATTGTCTTCATAAACTGAGAAGCCTAACGCTCTCCAGAAACAAGCTTGAGGTTTTGCCTCCTGGGCTCTTTCTGCACTTGCATGACCTGTCTAAATTGACCTTGTACAGGAACCCCCTGAAGACTCTTCCAGAAGTATTGTTTGGAGAAATGAAGCATCTTGGTAGCCTGTGGCTGTATCACACAAAACTCTCAACAATACCAGATTTTGTGTTCAGTAACTTGACAAATTTAGAGCTTCTTGTGCTGAGTTTTAATCCAGAGCTTAGTGTTCTTCCTAAGAATGCATTCAGTGGTCTGAATGAACTGCGGGGCCTTTCTCTGCATACAAATAATATTTCCAGACTGCCAGAGGGCATCTTCCTGAGCCTTCAGAAACTGCAGAACATTTCCCTTTTTGATTCGAGGCTTGAGGCTCTTCCTAGAAACCTCTTTCATAATCTCAAGCACCTTCAGAAGGTTTACCTCAATAGTACTAAGGTGCAGTCTCTTCCTGGAGATTTCTTTACTGCTTTACCTGAGCTGCAAGAAGTCTTCCTTGTCGACAACCCTTGGAAATGTGATTGCCAAATTCTTGGCTTCCAAGAGTGGCTCCAAAAGAACATGGAGATAGTTAAAGATGTGCCGTCTCTAATGTGTGACAGCCCGCTGGCACTACAGAATATCTCTCTTGTGGCTCTAACAGATCACCACCTGAAGTGCCTGCCAACCACAGCTGTTACATACCAGATGTTCAGCTCAACTTATCCCCAGGCTTCGACTTACCTTGTGACAGAGCACTTGGTATCATCTTGGGAGACTACTGTAACAGTGGCGTCCAGCTTGGGTACCAGCACACCCACATCAATTCCTCTTGCAACTCCAGGTTTTACCTACTCAAGTGTTCAAGGTGTTGGACAGCCTGGGTTTCATTTCTCAGATGTTCCAACCCAGGCTTCTCCCAGCATCACAGTAGAAACCAACAGTGTCAGAGGAACAGATTTAACTACTATTGCCTGGTGGGATGAGCTGCCAGCCCACAGGAGTGCTAAACCCTGTTTTAATACCAGAATTGCTTACTGTCAGCTATTACTGTGCCTTCACACTTCGATTTTAGCACTCCAGAGTGTAACCATTGTGCTCAGTCTGTATGTGATGGGTATAACCAGGCAGCTCCTGCACTCCAGAAGTACTCCTGCTCAGCCTGTAGTTCTGGTAAAATTTTTAAGAAGATCGAGAATACCAGCCAAAGAGAGAAGCACTGTTTTGGATGCATTTTGAGCATTTGGGCAGTTAACGCTTAATTCAGATATGGATTACAAATCTTCTTAGCAAGAACCATAAAGACCTTGTTTTTACAGCATAATGAAAATGCGCTTTAACGTACCTTACAGTGTTCACCGAAAATGATTGTAATCACTGTATGTTGCTACAGCACTTGATGCAGGAACCCAGATGGAGAGCTGAAAGAAAACCTGTGGTCACCTCTATGTGTGTGCTACTGGTTTCCTGCTTTGGGCTGCAGCCCTGTCCCTGCCAGACACCACTGCCTGCTGTCGTGCTCACGCTGCTCAGATGGAAGTGGCATCAATGTAGGGAAGTCTACATAGGAACACGGCTTTTAACTGTGCCTTAAAGGTTGCCTGTAGTACTCCAAATGCTATTATGCCTTATGCTGCCTGCAGTGTTTTGTCTCCTTGTTGAAAAAAGAAATAGTATTTTTGGGAGGGGATGCTGGAAAAGACCTTTTAAAAATGGAGGCGGGGGCAGAGTGACATGGTGCAAACATCTTAGTTTTTCTGTCCTCAGTCCCTTTCCAGGACGTGGCAGGAGGAAGGCGTACCATTCAAAGCTGACAGTGCTTTCCTCTAGCTTAACCAGAGGAAGATAAGTAAGATCCTGGCCTAGGAAGTATAACCTTGATGTATTTTGTTGTTTGTTTTTTGGAAACTTTGTAACATTACTACAAATCTGGATTTTAAATAAACACTTTCATCCTTAAATTTTGACCAGTGGTCTGAGAAGCAAGGTGTTACTCGCTGCATGATGCAGTGAGTCTTGAAATGAGAGTGCCAGGCAGATGCCCAGGACTGAGGCTTGGCTCCAGAGGAGCGTAGCTGGTTTGAGAGCTGGTCTTGACTGAGCTGGGAGAGAAGGGGATGGTCTCTCCTGGGCTTGGGTAGCAAAACATAGACGTGCAGAAAAGCGGCAGGGAGCCTGCCTCATCTGAGGGCCCTGAAGTGTTGCCACGTTTTTTTGAAGTTGGCTGGGAAACATACACGTCTCCATCAAATTGCATTATGCAGTAGCATATTCAGTTATATTCAGTCTCACTACTTTTTACCTTTTCTTATTCCATAGTATTACTCCCTGACTTCCAGCCCTTTTGAGTGTTGATATACAAAGACAACTGTGAGGCAATAGTTTGGGTTTTGGTCTTCATACCGAAATGTTTTTTAATATTTTGAATGATAGGCGTATGTTAAGTTGTAAGTAGACTGGTAGCTGTCAGACTGCATGTGCTTTGTAGCTCTTGGATTTAACTATTAGCTTTTATCTTAATTTTGTGACTTAGCTTGTTCTTAAAAGCTCTGAAATTTGTGCTCAAAAGCTAGGGCTGGATTAAAGAACCTCTGGATGTGGTTCCCTGGCATCTCAAGCAGGAGACCCTGTGCTCTAGGAGTCCTTTTGTAGCCTTACTGGCTTTCTAACTATTGAAGTCTTTCCTGGATGGCCTTGAGATGGCACTTCACAAGCCTGAACTGAAAAGAGCTTGCATTTGCTGCAGGTTTGTGGCTTATTTCCTGCTGTGTGCTACTCTAGGCAATGAGAATAAACTACAGACTGCTTTGTTTCAGGGTGCTCTGCTGCTGGACTTGAATTCCTCTTCTAAGCTGTGAAAAGAGGCAGTGTGCTTCTGTGGTGTTAAATAATCATTGTCTTGCTGGTGAGGTTTAACAATATTTAGCAAACCTGGCTAACTGGTAGGTAGAGCCATCTCTAAAGGAGGAGAAATGCAAGTCACTACAGCTGGTGCGAAGCAAACTGGGACTGGATTCAGAAACAGAAGCACCAGAATATTTCTTGCAACATATTTAAGGGAAGCACAAAGCCGACATGAAGCTTTCTTGGTGGTGGTTCTGGGATGTTACATGCTAGTGCTTAAAAGGAGGCAGTTGTTACAAATTTAGGTTCTTGGTTAGGCAACTATAATGACCACTTAGTGTTGTTGCAGCTCCAGCGCTGTCGTACCAGTGCCACGCAAGCATCTGCTCACAGCAGGCAGGAGGTAAGTATAATCTGGACTAACGAGGAAATCGTTCTACAAACCGTGCTGGTTATTGTGTGCCTCGGTGAGGCACTGAAGAATTGCACTCGTGGCTACAGGCTCTGGGATGCACACTGCCTGATTTCTAAGAAAAAGTAACAGTTCGGTTGCCATATGGGTGTACAACACCCTAATGCCCAACCTCTGGAAGAGCAGCGGGTTAGCAGCAGCTGCCATCTTTTTGAACCCTCCTTTGGCTGCCCCGGCCCCACAGCGGGGCCAGCTGGGTCTCCGTGCTGCTCCTTTGGCTCCCGTTCCGCAGTCGCTGAGCTCTGGCACGTGGGGGCTTTGGCACGCGGCTGCGTACAGTCAAGTGCTCGGAGGAGGGTGATTCGTCTTTACATGCTGTCATTGGGCTTTCCCCACACTTGAGCCAGACGGGGAAGTGAAGTCAGCAGACAACAAAAGGCTGGAGCAATAAGGGGCTGGGGTGTTTTACTAACTCTTCCTCTGAGGTGTCCTGTTTTGAGCTGCCCCTGATTCATTGCCTGTTGCCCAGCAGTTGTTCCTGCAAAACTCCCTGTCCTGGGAAGTCCAAGGACATGCTTATTTATATCCCATCTCTGTTTCACCGGAGAAGGTGACGATCTTCCAGGTCAGCGTGATGGTGGCTGCGGCAGGCGGGGAGGCAGCAGGGAGGGCTCCTCAGGAAAAGTGCAGCTGCACCTCGGAGCCTCTCTGCAGCGTTGCCTTGCTGCTGTCTCAAGGCACTGATGGCTTGCCATTGCCGGTGTATTGGCAAGGTTTTTCCCAGTCCCTGCAGCCCATGCCTCCGTGATCTACTGCCCAGCCTTCGCCACCAGGCTGGGCTTGGGGGGACAGGGGGCTGGAAAAGGTTGGAGGTATCTAATCCCTGGTGCGGGGTGTCCCTGCTGCTGGGGAAAGGGTGGATGCAAAGCACATCTGCACTCGGTGGCTGAGGGGACTGGCTCCACACCCTTGGCTCTTGTATGGGATGCAGAGTCGTGGTTAACAGCCCTGCATGTTAACTAGACCACAGGGTCCAGGAGCTTGCCTCCAGGGCTGCATCCTAGTCAGGAGCGCTTGGGGTACATCGCCAACGCAGGATAGTCAAGGGTCTTCTGTAACTCGCTCGGTTCCCTCAAACGCTTGTTTCTGTGGCGGCTGCTCCTGCTCTCTCTGCTTTAGGAAGTCCTGGAGCAGTGGGAGCTCTGACCCCTGTGCTGGGCCACAGGAATACCCAGCGTGTTTCCAGCCTGATGTCGCTGCAGGTGCTCTTCTCCTTTGCTTGTTGGGACTTGAATGCACAGTCCCTGAAGAGCGGGGTAGCGAGGAGGGGATTAACTGCTGCCATACGTGCTGGCAGCTCTCTGCATGTTTCCCAGCTGCTGCAGGACCCTTCCAAGCCACCAGCACTCATGCGCTGCGCTCGTGTCCCTGGCATCTCTGCCCTTTCCGTGTCGCCTCTGCCACGTGAGGCCAGTAGCTGCTGGAGGGCCTTGGCTGCTTGCAGAGGGGAGTGAGCTCAGGTGGGTGCCTACTAAATGCAGCTCAGCCCCAGCATGTAGCAGCAAGATTGGAGCCTGCACCTCGAATCCTCCCTCTCCTGGTGGCAAAAAGAAGCTGAGTGAGGGCAGGCGTGCTCAGAGAAGACACCCAGGAGCGTGTGAGACCACTGGGTGGGAGGCAGGAGCTCTGAGAGCCTCCGGCTGACGCTATGGAGCATTGGCTGTGTCTCCTCCAGGCCTCCGACCAGCGTACGTTGCCTGGGGAAGCTCATTCAGCAGCTGCGATAGGGGAGCACAGCATTTCCTAGGGATGATGGAATAGCTGGGAGGAGATGCAGCCAAAGGCACGTACCTGTGGGACAGGGCTGGGATTGCAAGTGTTTATAAACTCTCAAAGTGATCAGGACGCCTGAGGCTCCTGTTCCGCCCCTGCTCTGTTCAGAGATGGGCAAGCTGTGGAGGTGTTATGCCTCCATTTTCCTACCCAGAGTATGGGTTCACATCCCCTTCCCTGCTGGGTGTTTATGGGTGGGTGAGCCCTGCCAAAGCCTCTTGCCTGGGACATGGTGGGCGAGTCCTGCTTCACTGCGGGGTGGGGGTCTGCTTCACCAGCAGGACCTGGAGGCACCCCGCCACCGGGTTTTTGTACAATTGCTGCTGTAGAGCTGTCGGGTTTTTCTGCAACATGCCAGGCTTTCAGCTGTGTCTTTGTATCTCTCTAGATGAAAAAAAGCCCAGGGCAGGGAGCCAGCGATGGCTGGCAGAGGCTCCGCAGCCTGCTGTGCACTCCTCTGCCAGCTTCCCCTGGACACAGCAGAGAGATGGGGCCTCTTCTCCCTTGGGCTGTCGGGAAGGGGCCCCTGGGGCACTCCCTGGTGCCAGGGATGGCTTTATGGAGCTGGAAAACGGGACGAAGCCGAACCAGCAAACACCTCGCAGTGCATGAGCAGGGACCAGCCCCCCGCCATTGCCTCCCGCTCCAGCCGGTCCTTCCCCCCTCTCGCAGCGCCCATCGGACAAGCTCTTTCCGCTTCAGATTATCTCTCCAGGCGGACTTGGCTGCGAGCCCCACATTCCTTCCAGCCTAGCGCTGCCCTGAGCCCGCGCCAAGCCCTGCGCGCTGCTGCTGTTGCTGAGGGCTCAGGCCAGGGCTGAGCTTGGAGGAGATGGTCCTGCTGGCCAGGCGAGCTCCGCTGGTGCTTGAGATCCTAAATGCTATTTTCCTTGAGCTCCAGGAGGGTTGTGCTGGGTCTTTTGCTGGTGCTTGGATGGAGGTCAGCCTCATGGCCATCCCTGCTGCCCATCCTGGACGAACCAGGGCTGCTGCTCCTTCCCAAAGCTCCCACCCAACTTCCCCAGGGAAGGCAGAACCTGTCCCCATCCCCTGGGGCAGACGCAGATGGGGCATCATGTAGCCATGAGCATGGAGGCAGCCCTAGCTCTGCTTTCCTCAAGCAGTGAGCTGAAAATGCTGTGGGGGCTGG